TCAGATACCTTATAGATTCTTAACTAAAGGAAGAACTATCCTGGCACAAAAGTGATGGCAATTTCAACATTCAAGAAAGGTGTTCCCAGGGGATTATTTTCCATTTTCTGCTGAATCTAGATCAGTTAAAGATCACCACCATGAGCATATTTAGCAAAAGAAAATTAGTTGCAATGTCATAAATCACCCAAAATGTTTAATGCGTATACTTACAAAGCCCCATCCGCTCTTTGTAAATTCTTGCCCCACCGTCCTGTATAAACAGTTCGTGCTGGATAAGAAGAGCTCAATGTAAGGAAGTTCATCAACGATGGCAGCTACACCACCCCTCTTCGGTCCAAGCTCGAGGGCTTTGAGATATGCTTCTGGATTTTTTAACTGAACTATCCTAGATTTTGCTATATTGAGCTCGTCGATCAAATAGTTCAGTGCAAATGACCCGTCTTGGACTCCGATAGGTACAGTACTTGAGATCAAGCTATCAATCCCTTGAATCCCTGACGTTAGCTGCTGCACAGTAAGTATTGATGTCAAGCTAGCAGTGTAGCTTGAATTGATAATCAGAACTACAAATAGCCATATGATCAGGACCAATCGTCCCAAAGTGCTCACGGTGTTTTCTCCTGCATCAAGTCAAAGCAAGGATTTTTTGAGTTTCTAGCATGGATTTGTTGGAGCAGTACATATAATAACATAAATAGAAGCATAGGGGACTACAATGATGCACTTACTGTGAGAGAAAAACATTGTTGAGAAGCTAAACCTGGAATCAGGGAAAAAAATTATCAGCATAATTACTATATATTCACAGAGTGTGTTAATAGAAAGGATCTCTAATTACAGAGTCCATGCAGATTCATTACAAATCAAAGCCCAGTGCTGCAGCTTCAGCCAACATTTATGGACAAATGATGCAGAGATAAAATGTGGTTTTTGCGATATGATGCTGTGCTTTATAGGTTAGATCTAATGTGTCAAGGGATGACAAATGCACCCATTATCTTCCAATTAGATATATAGCAGCCATCTATTAAAGAGAGGGCACAAATGAGTTAAAAAGACTAACCAAAAGATGGTTATAAGCTGTTGCCTGGGAGGACCACGAAATTCATGATTAATCCGGTGTTCAAGAATCCATACTACAGCTCCCACAAGAAGAAAGAATACAGCAGTTACAAACCACATTTCTTTAGTAAATGGCTTGAGGAATGCCCAAGGATTTGACTTTGCCTCTTTAACCGGTGCAACAACAAGAAGTCCAGATTCCATATAAGGCTGTGTAAAATCAACAATCTTTGTCCTGTTGGTAATAATTGATATATCTCCAACTGCTGCATCATATTTCTGAAGAGAAGGAGCAAGTCAAGTTAATAATACTAGCACCTCCACATTGAGCAGGGCTCAGAAAGCCCAAACCATCTCCCCAAAAATTATCAGATAACCTAATCAAAAGACCTACCAGCTAAGTTACACAAATTGACAATAAAAACAACATTAAAGCCAATACTCACATTTTGTGAAACCTGGTAAACAAGATCATTATAGCTAGGATTTCTTTTACCATCTCCATATAACATATATGTGCGTGGAACAGCATACGGAAGCAAGCTTATTGCAGCTTCAAAGACATCAATGCAGTATCCTCTTACTCCCTGGGGACCCTTGTCTTTTGACACAAACTCTTTATAACCTACTCGGTTGGGTACAGCAATTCGCAGTGGCTGCCCATTGTTAGGGAAAACCCAACCCCTTGGCGTTGCTGTAGTTTCACCAGGCCATATTACACTGTAAAGATGTTGACTGCCAGTAGAGATATTGGGAGGCTTTGTATATAAGCTCTCTGGAGGAACAATTGAGAGATGAGAATAATTTGACCAATAACCAATTCTACGCATCCCGGTTCCACCAACATTAAGAACATCATATGCTGGATGAACTAAATGGTTATCTTGGTTAAATTGAATCTGACCAGTTAAACCAGTGAAGTTCATCCTAAGAAGTGTCGAGAGAAGTTGTTGGCCTCCATTAAACACACGAAGTGCTTCCAGGTGCAGCATGCTGCCATTTGCATCATGCAAAGTTGGGTCATTAGAGAAAGAAAAATTTCCACCTTCATTGAGAAAAACTTCGAGGGCATGTGCAGCCAACCAAACGGAATCATAAGCATAAAGTGCAAATGAATTGAAGCCTGCAGGACTAGCACTTCCATTATATTTTAGGTTTTTCCACCTAGACATGAAACTCTTTTTGAGACTATTATCTGGGGTGTAACGGCGGAGAGCAACAACCCCTTGCAAGAGATTCATTGTGTCAGGATCAGCAGCTTCCATCGAATCTAAGTATGTAGGAAGCCAATCTGTAGCAATCCAAACATAGTTCCCACTCATCATATTAAGAGCATTAGCAACAGCAAAGATGTTCAAACCAGTGTCAGGATTAACATGAACTACATAAACTCGTGACTCCATCAGGTTCACCTCAACTAGCAAGTCATTGATCTTACTTGTGGGGTCTCCAGGGCTGAAGGCGGCCTTATAAGAAATTTTGGCACGTTTCTTTGCCAGGGCATCACCCAAAGCAGAAATCCCACTTCTTCCATAATCGTCATCCACAAATATTGCTATGACCTCCCTCCAGCCAAAGTAGTCAACTAAATCAGCAACCGCATACATCTGAAAGTAGTCACTATGTGTAGTTCGGAGGAAATATGGGTACTGCAGGGAAGAAAGAGTGGGATCTGTAGCTCCAAATGATAGAAGAGGGACATGAAGCTCATTAACAACGTGGGATATGACATGAGCTATTCCAGAAGATTGTGGACCGATTGCAACAGCAATGTCACTTTCCATCAGCTGCAAAGCTACACAAACAAGGAGAATAGATTAGAGTCTTGTGTTTCTATTCTTCTTCCAGAGACAAAAAGCAAGGATGGCAGAAGTAATACGCATATAATCCTAGCAGACTCTTGTACTATTTAGACATTCTATTTTGCCGGGGACTTACATACACAACAATGCAAATTGTACTAGCTTACTAGGTATAAATAGAAGTGTATTGTGTTTTTCCCATGTTAAAAGGAAAGCAAACGGGTGGAAACATTGTTGGCTCATCAAGATTGTGAGTTAAACAGTGTTTGTTCCTTATTTGGTGTGATGCCATGGAACTAGTTCCTGATGTAATCGGTTAAGTATCAATAGAAGTTCTTTCATCAAAAAGAATAAAAAAACACAATGCCTCCAAATAGATCACTAAACTACAATAGCCACAACTTATCAGACATTTTTGCAGGCACAAAACTGAACTGCAGACTCGCCAAAAAAAGAAAAGGAGTGACATTGTTGAATAAACGTAAGCTTAAAGATTAGAGCACTGGAGCGGGAGATCAATTGAACCCAATATAACAGACAGAAAGGCACTCTTACCCAATGCCCATCCTATCAAGAAATTGCATTATGCAAACTCTCCTGAGGTCAAGACCTCATCGCACAGCCTGTTTTGTATCGTAAGCTATTAATGCAGATTATTAGAGCTCTAAGCAAGAAAAGCCCAAGAAACAACAGCAATTACATTGAAGTTAATGCTGTAAAATGACATGGAAATTAGGCTCATATAACCAAGTGCCTCGCCCTTCAAGTCGTAGTATTCCTTGCAATTGAATCGAGGTGTAAATTACTTTAACAACCCAATGCTATGCCATTAAACTGCAAAAGTAATTGCAGAAAGAAAAACCAACACAAAGAAAGGACCACTGATTTCATTATCACCATGTCCCCACCTAGAAAATACTGATTTTCTGCCTTAAAACAGTTAGTATTACACAATTAAGGGCAGTTCTTAAGAGATACATCCAATTTAGAAATGTAAACAGGAAAAATTAGTTGAGGATCAATTCAAATTGCAGAGCAGAAGAAAATACCCTCCACGGTTCCAACAAAGCCACTGCAATTTGTATCGTGCAAAACGAGTTTCAATTCTACCCCATTGAGAATGGTTGGATCAGCGTTGACATCATCAACACCAGCTTGAAGTGCAGGCTTTGCTGCTCTTCCGATAACTGAATCCAACGTGAACAGAGATCCAATATTTATAACCTTTGGCTTCAAAGAAGATGAAGAAGAAGAACTTGAGGAAGCTGATGCATTTCCAGTTCTGCAAACAACTCCTGGAGGGACCCACATGAAGCAAAGACTCAACAAAATCAAAGTTCTTGTCATGAATCTCGAAATCAACAAGACCTCCTCCATATATTCCAAAACAAAAACTTGTTGATCAAGCCAGACCAACCGTTTTCTGCCTCAAATTACCATGAATGCAAGATACCAAGGACCACCTGCCAATAGACAAGAGCAAAAATATGAACACTGGGAATCAAGAAGAAATTCATGCATTTCTTAGGATAAAACCAACATGGGGCTTTACTAAAATTGTCAATAAAAATGCAAGGATGAAAAGAACAGCAGTAAGAATTTTGTAGACACCAAAATGACAAACCAAAAAAATCCAATAGAAATGATCCAAAAATCCGAGGCTTTCCAACACTTACTGGGTAGCCAAAGCGCACTTGCCATGGTTAGCTACACAGCCAAACATATATAATATAACCAAGGTGTATTCAAAAGAAAGAAAAACCATTGCTTAAAATAATTTTATATTGGCTCTGTATTGTGGATGATGAAAGCTAAAACAAAGAAAGAAAATAGTAGCGAATTTAATAATACAACAAGTGTTCAAACTGTCATGGAAAAACCACCACATGCACAGATAGAGCGAAGAAAAACAATATAAAAGCAAGATATTGCTGGTTGCATCACCTTGGTGAAAGGCTTTCTAAAGTCTTCAAAAAAAAAAAAACAAATGAAGTAAAGTATGTAAACAGCTGGGTAGTTGTGATGATATTAAAGGTGGAGTCTGAGGTGAAGGACAACTTGACCGTTCACATACTCAAAACCCTCACAACAGTCATCCAGGCTTAAGCAAGGAATGATTCCCTGTTTATGTCTGTTTCCCTGGCTGGCTCCACCTTACAACTTCCAAGCCCCCCTTTTTCCTTCATTTCTTTATTAGACTAGCCTTTTTGTAGTACTTCCCTTATCACAGTCGTGTATTTGTAACGCTCACAGTTTAATTTCTTTCTTTGATTAAGATATTTTCATTGAATTTTTTTTATTTATTTTTTAAAAAGTATACACGAGATAGAATATTGGTTAACATTACTGGTTCACGTCAAGCCAGCAAATGGAAGCCCTGTATTGGTGGCTCTAAACCTCATCTCAGATGCTAGATACGTCCTTTTTACATACAAAGCTTTTTCTCTTTTTTTTTTTTTTTTAAAGAAGGACAAATGAAAATTACCTTAAAAATAAAGATTTTACTTGTCTTATTGGAATTACGTAACTCGACTCGTTTTCATAAAATTGTCTGCCTCGATAATAAACAGATCATAACAATGACCTTCCAACAAAATTAATCTCGAATATACCTCAATTTTGGGGACCTTTTTAACTGAACAATCTATTTTCAACAAAATTTTTCGTACTATAAACAAAAATTAATTGTGATGGTGATGAAAGAGGGCCCGGTGGGTCCAAACTGCTAAACATGTTAAACATGTGGGGTACTGTGCTAGTGAACTGATTGGGTGGGACTTTAGTAAAAAATTTTAAATTATTTGACTCAGAGGAAAATATGAAATTATGTTTTAAATTAATATTTGATACATAGATAATGTAGTACGTTATTAATATATTAAATATATTTTTTTATTTTTTTACAAGGAGGTTCAACTCTTGCAGAGAAATAATTTTTCAACGGTTCACAATAATTTGGACATCACTGTCTCATTATCAGAAAGGAATTTGGTTTCACGTGGACGTGGCGAGATCTCATCAGATACATTAAAACTGAACCAATTTTGCAACTTGGATTTTGGAAATTGGAATCCCCCAATTTTTAAAAATTAAAACTAAAACGTCGGAGATGGGGACAAGAGTGAACGCTCCACCTTAAGCCATCAGCCACTATTCTCTCAATTTTTTGTCTTTAAATGGAATTATTAAGGTTTTCTATTTAATAAATAGTCTCATCTAATATCCAAAGACCATCAATTCATAATTAATTATATATTTTTAGCAACCCTTCAAAAAAAATTGTCCTATGTAACTGAATTATTTTCTATAATTTTTAACTTTTTTTAAAGTAAAAAGAAATCACCTTTTGTATGTAAAATTTATTCAAATCAAAATGTCACTCGATTAATGTTTTTATTTTATATTTTTTATTATAATTATTTAAAAATAATTATCCTTACTAAAGTAACACGTTGAACATGTGATATTTTTATATTATTATTTTTTTATTTAAACTCTTTAAAATTTGATGAAAAGTCAAAAAGTGAGTAGATAAAATTAATTAAATTTTTATTATTAATAGTTGATCAATTATCTCTTTTTATTAATATAAAAAATAAAAATGTAACGTAATCATATCATATTTTTTATAATAATAAATAATATTTGATTAAATATAATTAAATAATAAAAAATAATTAAAATTTTTTAAATTCATAAATCTTTATAATTATTACGTCATTATACATTAACTAAGATAAAAGGCAAAGACTAGCTATTTGGGGGAGGCCAATAGAGTCTAAGTCAATTCTTACGTGCAAATGTCCAACCATTTTCGAGGAGAATCTAGGATATAACGACGCTGTACATTATTATATTTTTTTACCCGGCAGGCAAGTGACAAAGACACCATGCACGTAGGGTCCATTTACAGGAAGACTCTTTAAGTTTTTTTCGTCCTCAAAGACCCAGCTGTCCTTTTTCGATTATCCCAATCTTTTCTTTCTTTTTTCTTTTTTACACACTATTATCTTATAATTATTGTAGTGTACTATTTGAATTCTACAAGTAAATTTATTAAAATTGTCATATTTTCATTAAATTATGATTAAAAAATTAATGTATATTAAGATAATTATTAAATAAATATTTATGATGACATTATAAACTCCTTTGTGATATTAAAACTTTTATTGTTGAGCTATAAAAGTCCTCTATGGTTTTCGGTCAATTAAATTTAATTTATGCAATGAAAGTAAATTTTTTTTTCATTATATAAATTACATTCATCTTTCACTCAAAATTTTAATAATTTAAATTTTTTAAATTTAAAAATAATAAAAATGCCAAACCCAACCACTTTCATGTTATCTCAACGTTATGAAATTATATATATATATATATATATGTAAAAAACATCCTCCCTAGAAATTTAATAGCACATGTGTAAAATGCTTCAAATTATATATGCGCCGCCTCTATTATTTCTAACTTAATTGGGTCAACAATTCTATTCATATTGCTACCCAGTTTAAGAGATTTTTTGATTAATTAGTTTCATTTTCATAAGTTTATACTTTATACCTATTTATATCTTTTTTTAAAAAAATTTTAGAAGCGAATTTGAGGAAGTTGTAATTATTGAAAGATGAAAAAATAGTACTGTATGGAGCTTGATGAACATACAAGTGCATGAATACAAGTCAATTACGTGATATTCACCACCAAATTGAATGGATAAAAATTAATATTAAGAATTTAAGATTTAAAATTCCCCAAATGTTTGGGAATTTTATAATTTCTTTTTTTATATATAAAAAAAGAAACAAATTACTGATCAAAATTGAAAGAAAATGTCAAAACCAAAATATACCATGCTAGAGAAAGGATTTTCTCATGAAGTCAATGATCGAGTCTAGCTGAGGGACACATCATCTTTTTCTACTTCTCCATTATTTTTGGTCTTTTTTTTTTGGAGGTGTAAATTTTTCTATATATTAATTTTTATCATAATACTTTAAAAATACTTAAATTATTTAAAAAATTTAAAATTTTTTTAAATATTTTATTATGTTTAATCAAACTCATGTTTAATTAAATAGATTTTTTTAATTAATAATTAATTTATTATTAATTAAAATATTTTATTATTATTTTATACTTATATTGTGCTAACATCAAAATAAAAAATATTATATGACATATCATTATATCACGTCATTATTTATTATGACATAGTAATACATTACGTTATATAAATTGATAAATATTTTTAATAACAATACTTCAATTATTAATCATAAAAATTTATTTAACTTAAAATGAAATTATAAAGACTAATTATAGTGAGATTTCTACAATTTCCCTTTCTCTAAAAGAAAAAAAAAAGAAAAATTTACCAGTCAAAATTGAACAAAATTCAAAACCAAAATATACGAGGCAAGAAAAATGATCTTTTTCCATTGAAGTCAATGATGGGGTACAACTTTCAAAGTCTTCTATATTTTTTTTTTGTCTTTTTTAAAATGTATTTTAAAGCTATTGAAAGCAAATGTTGAATGTGAAAAATCTTTTATCCAAAGTCACAAACAAAATTGATAGAGATGGGTGGTTAATAAAATATGAAACAAACAGATAAATCTTAAAAATAAATCATATTTATTTCAAATTTTTTATTTAAAAATAAGTACAAATATAATCATTTTCAATAATTTAAAATATTCAATATAGGAAACAATGCAAACTAGATGTGGGAACTTGATCTACAATTTAAAAAATTCAATATTTTATTTATGTTAAATACATAATTTAATAACTAAAGAAAATATAAATAAATTTTTGTACCTTCACTTTCTTATCCAACCTATCAAAACCAGTCCAAGTCAATTAAGGCGATGGTCTCCCCCTCGTCTTAATTTGGTTTAGGTGAGGGTGTGATAACTGATAAGAGACTTTAGCCAATCGTTGACTCTGGGCACCTTAGACTATAAACTCACCACATTGTACATGTCTTCTTTCATTAAATTTATTTATATTTACATGTAAATGACTGGATATTAATATTGCAGGGGACTTGACTTTGTAAGAAAGCCATGGTAGAATATTTATGAACTATGGCTGGATTCTAGTTGTATCCATAAATTGAAGTTCAAACGATATTCAAATTTTCAGAACTCGAATTACGGGTTTTTATATATTTTCATTTAAATTAGTATGAGAGTTTGAATTAACATTTTATTTAAATTTTTTTTCTTTTGATAAAAATTATATTAAAATTAATTTTTTTTTTGATAATTTAAACGTAAGTGAATTTGGCAAAGATAAATACACTTTGTGTTATGTTAATATCTTATCACTATTAAAAGAGGAAAAAAAAAAAAGACCAAAGAGGGAAAGACAATATTACATGCAAAGTTGACAAAAATGCCAATTAAATACAAAGTTTGGCTAAAAAGAAGGTGAAATTGTGTAATGACAAAATAAAGAAGAACCAAGAAGTCTAGGTGAATGGAGTGTCGCTATTTGTTGGACTGATGTGGAAATATGAATATTGATGAGTTTGTGTCAAGGCTAGATTTTGTCCTTGGGGGGGTTAAATGTTATAGTACTGGTCCGCAGCATTGAATGCCAATCCCAATTGAGAGCAGCACGGCCATCATTTCAGCTCAAAAATCATGTGGCTGTGTCTCTAGTCAGCTTTTTCTCCATGGGAATATGGTTCTTTTTTACTTTATTGTTTGCAAAACGAATCATCAAGCTTCCTAACTAAATATCTTACTGTAATTCGGAGAAACAGTGGGAAAAGAATATCTGATATTAAAACCAGCCTGCCCCTGCATGTGATAAAAGACCAGGTTTCACACCCCCCCGGCAGACTTGTGTTAATATGCTTCGAAAGATCAGAAGAATATCAACCACGTGATAAAACATGCTTGCAATGTTGTGAACAGCCTCTCCAATTTCTAAATTCCAATCAAGTTCACATCAGATTTGCACCTATCAGCACCAATGGAAGTATTGATACCTTATTAACTGATTCCCTGGAAATAAAAGCACCAGGAAGGAATCTATGTAGAAGCACCAGGAAGGAATCTATGTTGGAATTACCTGCAACCCACAGATGATTGAACCGAATAAACGAATTGCAGAATATGGCATATCCATCTATACGTAGAGTCTGTTTTAGTAAGTACTACCTTGTTATGGATACT